CCAGCCATCATACTACTACTACAGAGCATGGTCAGCAGTAGTAGTAACATAACGATGCTGAATCGCCTGAGATGTTTCAAGTCGTGCTGCCTCCCTGTTGGCCGGACCGAGGAGGAGCCCCAACCTACTACTACTTCCGAGCGATAGAGATAAGACTAGGTGCATACCCACGAAGTAATTACTACTACTCAGCATTCACGTATGACAATAACATCACCCCTCCACCACTACTACGTCCTTCTCTACACATATCAAGGTAGCTAGATCCAAATGCATCCGATCTGTGTCTGACCCACCACCCACTGATGCCAATACTGAAGCCTTTGTGAGAAGTGCCGTCGAGGGAGGTATCACAATAGGATGTGTTTACCTCTACACCATTTCCTGGACAATTTGATATTTTACCCCAATTTTTCAATAATTTACTTACTTTTTTGGAAAAAAATGTTTTTTATTAAAATTTTTCACCGACTGATTTCGACTTATCCCCCAAAATAGCTGGTCTTCTTAAAAACATATCGACTTAGTTTTGAGGTTAGCCCCAGAACAGACATAGTTGTCTTGGAGTTCATCTTTACCGTCTGTAGAGTATGCTCCGACATTCTTACCACACCATCCACAATAACCAATTCTCTAGACAGTTGCTAAAGGCGATAATGCACGCTCGTTGAACTGATATAATAGTATAATAATGCTCTACAGCAAGCGTGTGATGGTTCCACCTAGGAGCTTTAAGCTTGGATGCAGAGATGTGTGTTAAAGTAAGCGAACACCCCCGAGTATCACGTCTTCTCTACAATGTAAAGAGTTAACTATACATTCACAACAATTCACGTACACATCTTGAATCTACTAATATCGATTACTGCGGCGCGCGCTTAATCATCAGCGCAGGATGAATGAGAGGTAGCCCACAGAAGACTTTGGAGTAATTTCGAACATCATGTCATTGGAACCTGCTGCAACACGAGATGGGCCTCCCATAGACACACTTCATACGGAGGTCACAGTAGAGCATGCTATGGAGGAATGTAGGGCACCCTTTCTCGGTGGTACTACTACTATGATGGGATGCTCACTGTCAGATGATGAAGAAGAGCATCCTCATCATGCTATGGTACAGACTGATGCTATAATACACAAATCGCCGAAACCCACGACTAAGTAGGACTAGGGGTAGTAGGACAACCTACTATGATCACAGCAGATACCATCGTGATGCCCAGACGTGCATCACGAAAACACGACGTACACAGACAAGGCGGGAACAAGGCACTAGCATGGTAGTAGTAGTAGTAGTAGTAGTAGTAGTAGTAGTAGTAGTAGTAGTAGTAGTAGTAGTAGTAGTAGTAGTAGTAGTAGTAATAGTAGTAGTAGTAGTAGTAGTAGTAGTAGTAGTACTAGTAGTAGTAGTAGTAGTAGTAGTAGTACTAGTAGTAGTAGTAGTAGTAGTAGTAGTAGTAGGACGATGCAACAGTTGATTATATGCATTCAGCCTCGGGGGGACTTGTCGGCCGTGACCAAAGAAGGAGATAGAGAGATGACCCCTCGGTCGCCATATTTCACCAGCGCTGACAGGGAGGCTCTACTAGTAGATAAGGTCACTATCATACAGTCCCATGCCCGTGGTATGATGGCTAGAGTAAGGTCAACCTGTCATGATGTCGGCGAGGTGTGGTATCAGGTACGTTGTCGGCATCTTCAAGCTGAGAGGGAGACACTACAAAGGCAACAACAGCGTGAGGAGGACCAAGCCGTAATAGAGGATGAACTCATAAGGCGACGAGAAGTTCAACGAAGACTCCAGCCTAGGTCATTGGGGATCTGTTATTATCATACCATCCCACCGAAAAATTGTCCATAGCTGAGCTGAACCTATTTCAAGTATGGACATAGGTTCTCAGATCAGGATGAAAACAGTAGATTAGTTTCAAAATAAAGAGAATCTTTAAAGTTGTAGACATTTCAAAAGCTGTGACTTTTGTGGAACCCTCCCTTGAAGAGAATCAGGTTTTACATTTTATACCCGGCCACACGTTAGTGATGCTGTATCTGTTACAGGACATATGATGACTTCATCACATTGTATAGTGAGATACAAGCATGGCGTTTGAATGAGACAAGACGTATTAAGGAGTGCATTGCAGTAGAGGAGGACCAACGTGTGGCCTTGAAGGAGGTAGTGGTACTCTAAGATTGGACTGTAGAAAGGATGGTATCAGTTATTGAATAAGGAGGTTAAATTACTCCAAACTGTTGACCGATTGAAGCTGAATGCCCGTAAACATAATAGGAGTGTTAAGGCTACCAGTAAGCAACTGTAGTGGTAAAGTTGGCAGGCCATTGTTATTTATAGGGAAGCTTGAGGCAATGGCCAGACCCAAGGTATGGACTCAGGGTGATGGTGATAGCACACTCGTGTATACACCATCTACCACCCGAGCTGAGGAATATATGGGACTGTAAGTCACCTTTGCTGTAAATGCCACAGTTGAGGGGTAGGTATGAAGCTTTACGGCTTACTACACTTACCTCGAATGAGAGATTGGATCTACTATTGCACATTAAATGGTAGTGTTACTAGGGTAAGTAGAGTTAGAATATTATCTAGCTTCAGGGTTATAAAGATGTACCGTGGAAAGATGACTGGTGAACTGGCTGAGCTCCTCGACCGTGAAGCGGATCTATTGAATCGTGGTAGAGGCAGTAGAAGCTTGAAGGGCTTGCGGCAGAGTAACATTCCCATCAGTAGGCGTGGCATATCTCTTATTTAGGAATATCTGATCTCTTTTATGACTACATCAGCACACCTGAGGTGAACCCCGAGGCTTGTTTATTCCACTAAGTTTAAACCGTGCCATAGTATGTTCATTATATTAGTTGTTGTCATCATTGTGGATTGCGCATTCATAGAGTTATCAACACAAACGATAAAGTAAACAGTTCAGACACACAAATACGTGATAGCAGTAAACCAGGATCTAGTGAAAAACGAAGGAATAGGTAGACGAGAAATGATGATGATATCGTCATACATTCTTCTTATAAACTGTAGTAGTAGTTCAGCGTAATTACTTATCATAAGCATCAACACGTACACTGACCACAGCCCGCCGCTAGGATCATTATGCTCTACGAATGATGCGTCTCACTTCATAGCAGCCTCAGTAGAACAGGTGATGGACAGCCCGTGCGGCACTGTCTCGATGGTAGTCTCTTCAGGGAAATACTTCAAAAAAATACGGAAATACTAACATTGAAGCCCTTTCTTCAACGTCAAACTTGAATGCGTATTGTCAAACTTGTATGGTGTATTGTCATTCTTGATTGTGATATATTCTGCCGGTGTCAAACATGAATTCTCACTGTCAATCTTGATTGTAACATAATTGAACTTTGGCAACTTGGATTTTCATGATTAACGGAATGAGTTAACGAATGTAGTGTCTGTGAAATCCCAGGAAGGAGGTATCACCACGCGCACGCCCATACCAACACAACGCACTCTAAAGATTGGGATACAATTGTGTAACGCTGAAGCACCTTAGCGAATCATGAATGAGAAATCGATCACTATAATAGAAGTTCTATTATAGAATTGTAGTTCGCAATAGTAGTACGGCTCTTAATGAGAGCTGGGCTACTCGCGAACCCGACCGTGGGTATCGGTCTACAAGGGAATTCTGAAATTTTAACCCACCCACTACCAACCCTGAATACGGCGATGTCAATCGCCAGTGACGTATGGATGGTATACTACCAGAACACCTGTAGTACTGTACTACTAGTACAGGCTCCTCACTTGATGACCATGGATGGCCCGAATGGACGGTTAGATAGACTATCCAACATGATGTCGATCATTTTAACCCATTTTATTTGACATTATATGTCGCCGACGATTAGGCGGCGAAGGGCCATTCACAATCTATGGTCACACAAGTGAGTATTGTCTGCTAGTTTGACCATCCAAGACCTACAGCGGCCTAAAACTCACTGGCGCGATGACATGGAAAACCGAAACTAACTCGCCACAGAGTCACAAGGCTCGTGTTCGGGTTTCATGTTTAGGTTTTCCTCCCGCATACCCGTATTTGTGGGATTTTATTGTCAATCTTGATCGTAACATATCTCGATTGTGACATACTTGAATTCTCAAAGTCAAACTTGATTGTAACAGAATTGAATTGTGACATACTTGAACTCTTAAGGTCAAATTCCTTATAATATTGTCATTTTTGTCTGCTCACTTGCCAAACTTACACGGGAAAAGGTGTAGAAGTAGCAAAACCAAATCTAGCAGAAATAACAGGCTTGCACTGAAACTGAAGCCAACCCTTCAGACAATACATCAATAAAGCATAATAGACAAAAATTGTTCAGATCTTCAGACTCTAGCTCCATGTACTCGAACATGAGCTACTTACTCCCCTTCATAGCCTCGACTGTCCTGTCTCCTTTTGTGAAGCTCCACTGGGACGCATTTTACTACATGTGTTGATGAATCAACTCCAGTTTCTTATCGTCGTGATCATGTTCTAATCAGACTAGCCCAGTTAATTCATTATACTACTACGGTGGGGCTGATCAGTAGGTGCTAGTCTCGTTGAGTCACTTTATTCAGGAATACTTTTGAGAAGAGTTTTGACGAAGGTTCGCCGTCGGGACTCGTGCTACTATAGTTCCTCGGTAGTACAGTGCCACTGGTACTAATCACCATGTATTAGTCCAGTTATTACACTTTACGGTAACACTGCCGTACCACTAAGGCATTCTCATTCAAAATTTCAGATAACACGAGTCGGAAGGAGTTGGAAAGACCTTTGATCTATTCGGGGGGATGCTTGATTATCTATGCACACACGTGCAATCGTTCACACTGGGCAGAAGCAGTAACAGGTGCGTAGAAAGGATACTGCTGATAGAACCTCTTGGGAAAGCTCGCGCAATGTGCGTCCTTTTTATGGTTAGTTTCGTGCTCAAGTTTATCTTGTAGTCCTTGAGCAGGGGGTGGAATGATTAGACAGAGCTTCATTGCTGCTGTGATGTTTCCCTATTTCATGTCATTCGTCCGATAACTCTGTTGTGCGCGCATCGCACGCTACTACGTGTATGTGGGGACAGTTGCGCTGCTTACAATCCATTCATTGAGTTGGCTACATCGTCTCGCCCTACTTGATGTCTGCACACGAGTCGAGTCATCAGTCACAGGACTCTTGTGACAGGAGGGATAGTATCCCTGGGATACGGATTCCAATCAATTGTATCAGAGTTCGGCTGATTGGCAGCGTCGCACAGTACTGTGCTGACCCTACCAAGTTGGTAGGGTCAGCACAATACTGTGCGTTGGTAGTACCAACTGACCTCATAGGTTGAGATGATTTGAAGGGCCCATAGCTTCGATTCAACTGTTGAATTTCAACATGTAGTTCAAAAACATGTTGTTATAGCTGAAAGCTGTGTTCTGTTGCTCCTTAATCTCATAGACTTCGGTAGTCACAGCAAACAGCCAAGCGAAACTCCTGTGAAAAACTGAACGTGGAACGGCTTTCGTGAAACAGCATGCGTGAAACTGTTCTAGTAATTTCCTCAACGGAACTCCAATGGGGTGAATAACTCGTTCTCCCGATCACATGGGCAACAACAACTCGCGAATCTAGGTGGCATCGAATTCAGCCTCTTTGGAGGGTAGATGGAGTTGTCTTGGACGCAATCTGGCACTCAGTTAACTACCCGTAACATGAAAGTTCTGCATCTCATCACCAGTCTTATCATCTACGGTATGGGCGCTCGTGGTCATGTAGGTGTTTACACGCCGTGCCTCAACGAGTACGGAGACTATGGAGAGTATGTCACCAGAATAGAGTTCATGTTTGATGGCACTGTTATCCTCACCCATCAGAAAAAACGAATGGGGCCTAAGAAAATCTACACATGTCAGTATTACTTTCGGCAGGAGGACGCCTCATATGTTCGAGCCTTTTTCTCTGGCTCTGAATGTGTCCAGCTTCTGGAAGACTCCAAGGGCTATCTCTACTCGCACTCCCTATCTCCCTCCCTCGAGCTCCCCAAACTCCAGTACTTGTTGATGCCTCTACCTTCAAAATTCGCGCGTACGGCCCTGTACAAGGATAAAGATACTTGGAAATGCCCAAAAACCCGTTTAACCTAATTTTTATCCTTGTGAGTTGGTTCGGGAACGACCGAATGAGACTGCGATGCTGATGATGGGTGGCATTGCCGGACTTTTCCTCAGCCAGTCCCCTTCCATACCCTTGGCTGTAGCTCAGTAGCATCAGTTCTGATCCAGTCATATTTCATACTTATGTGTCGAACGATGTGTCGTTCTGATCGGCATACGAAGTTGATCAACTAAGGGTCCGTCATCATTTCAGTCACTCTCGTCTCTCGTGTGTTCACCATCAGACTTATTGAAAAATAGCTGGGGCTCACGAGATTATGTCTGTGATGTGTCGCGGTCCCCGACTCGAGGTTTTCATTTCAATATTCCTTAGTGCGAGATCCACATTTCAGAGCTATTGGGATCATTTTTCGGGAAAAGTTCGTGTATTTGGTTGTTCCTGCCAGAACTTTCAAGTGTCTAACGGACTCGAGCCTTGGTCATTGGTCTATTTTCAAAATAGTATTTTATCACTATCCGATACGAATGCTTATCATAGCGAACGTAGCGATGTTGGGTTGCGCGATAGTCTGTCGTCGATAATCATTTAATTTCGGAACTAGCTGGCTCAACCACCACTAATCACCAGTGGTCTTCTCACGCAAATACTGATCGCTGTTTTTGGCGCTGTGTGAAATGGAGTCGCTAAAAAATTAAATTCATTTCTCCCTTGCAGATCCGCGTAGACTGGCTCGTCCAATCCTTCTGAGAAGAATAAACAAAATCATAGCGACTGAAAAAATAGTGACATTTTTAAGTACCTTAGGTTGTCTATGGTAAGATACGAAATAGGTCCAGCGCACATTTCAATGATCCAAGAAATTACACGGAGAAAATACTTTTCGGGACGAGAAAAAATCAACCTCTCGAAGTGAATGTGATTCCAAGTGTTGCAGTTGCGTCGTTAGACGGTGGTGAAGGAAGGGTTAAAGCTATGCAATCATGGGATATCATCGGGCGATCGCGAGTAGATAATTATGTTCCTGATCAAACTAAACTAGTGATCTAAACGAATCTATGGAATTGTTACAACCTTTGAGTCTAAGTAATTTATAAAGCTTTCTGATCACTCTGTATGCTCTGTACTTCGAGCTCTCCTAACCACTCGCTTTCTCTCAGTTTTTCTCACACACAAAATTTTCTTTCGCGCCACAATCTCACCTTCTCCGTTTTCGATTCCTCCATCTGATGATGGAGTCCATCATGAATGAGTGGACCCGAGTAAATCTGTCATTCGAGAGAACCGCGACTATTCTTTCCCCGCATGGTGATAGCGGTATAGGGGATACATATCTGAACAGCTATGTAATGGAGTTTCACCTGTTTTACGTATCGCATTTTTCACATGGGGTTTTACGCCACTTCACATAAAACCGGTGAAACTCTAATGATTATCTATAATCCTATTTAACTATAAAGCTTCTATATTTAGAAGTACCAAGTCGTATATTTTCCCCAAACCAGTTCTCACGTATTGGCTCGGGCCAGAGCCTCTCCAGTCGCCTGAAGTCCTTCATCAGAATATCTTCTTTTTCTTTCCTCATTTTCATCATCATCATTTTCGCCTTTTTTCGTTAATCTTTGACATCTTGAATCCAGAAGAAGTTCTCTCGATATAGTATATCCCAAATATAAGGATCATCCAAGGTTGCACATGACAAGATGCAAAATTGATCCGCATTATAACCACGAGTTATGGAGTATTGGAGATCGGAGTCATCAGCCTAAGTCTGTGACCTTTAC